CAACTTGGGTGAACCTTCTTGACAGTATGCTAAGTGAAGTAAGCCAGTCACAAGAGGACAAGTATCACACGATCCCATTTGTATGAAGTACCTGCAGTATCGCATCGGTAGAGACAGAAAGCGGGGCGGTGGGTATCGGGAGAATGGAGAGCCAGGGTTTAACGGTACAGTGTCAGGTGAGGAAGAGGAAAAACTCTGCAGACACACGGTGCTGATGGTTGCATAACAGTGTGAATGTATGTAATGCCACAGAACGGTATGCTTAAAAATGGTTAAATGGTAAGTTCTTATGTTATGTATTTTTTTACCACAACTACAAAACAATAAGTGTGCCTGCCACACATGTTGTGAGAGTCTGTGTCTTGTTTACACCCCATGGAGAACATCAGTGTGTTTTTAGCAGGCATTCCACCAGAGTCCAGGCTGCAAGTTCTCACCAGCCTTCTGTGGGTCTTGGTTCCAGTGTTGGTTCAATTAAATCCTGCCTGAAGCGCTATTTGAATCTGTCCTGTGTCAGCCAGTCGCCAGTGCCTGCAGTGTGGGATCAGATCCATGCCCACCAGCCTCAGGGGTGAGCTCAGGAGGCCATCATTTAGAGGGATGACCTTCCCGAGGACCTCCCTCTCCAGGACCTCCCTGGATCTTGGCAACCTTGCCTTTTCGGTCTTTTGGCCAGAAAGCTGGTGCTCCGCAGTCCCCGTCCAGGGGCTGTGCTCCCCTCCAAGAGTGACCCTGGGAGGACAGGTGGGGATACAGAGCAAACACTCTTGCCAACCTCCCGGGACAGCAGCTCCTCCAACCAGGCGGGCGCTTCCTCCCGCAGAGTTCAGGTGCCCGCTGGCTCCTGGGGCCCCTGCTGCTGCCCTGCTCACGGGATTGCGTGGGTTTCCGGCAGGCGTGAGAAAACAGAGAGAAAGAGAAACAATAGGCAATTCCTTCTCTTCTCCCCGAGCATTCACTCCTTTCTTCCCGACTCCTTGACGGAAGGGTTTGTCCCGGAGATCTCTGTCCAGCCCGGGTGCCCACTCGTGAGTTACAGGTTTTGGCGAGTTCAGGCCAGGGCATACGGAAGGGAAAGCATGGCAAAGTGAGGCAATTTGGGTGGCCCTTTGAATCCTGGTCTCCTTCACTGCTCCTGCTGCTGTTCGCATAGCGAACCTCGGGTGGCTGAACCACGCGTGCGGTCCAGGTGCGGTAGCCTCCTCCTTTGTCTTATCCTAAGGCCCCTTCCGACACTGGCGTTTAACAAAGGCCACCAGCCCCCATTCACACATCCATTTATTCTATTCAGGTACATTGGTCACCTACCATGTACTACAAACTGTGTGGACTGGAAAAAGAGCCCATCTTTTAGGTGCTTAGAACAGACTCCCGCTTGAGGCACAACCTGCTGGGCTGCACCTTGGTTTCCCGCTCTCTGCTCCTGCTCACAGTATTCCCGTGCAAGGCGAGTGGGCTTTGCTGCTCCCCTTTGTCTGCATGGGAGCCCCAAACCGTCCTCACTGTGAGCTCTGAGGGCGCGGCTGTGGGCTTCGGAAAGAGTCGTATTCTCAAACACACAGGTTTGTGGTTTTTGAAAGAACAGAAAGCAAAAAGCATAACCTCTTGCAGGATTACTTTCTGCTGAGGACCAATTGATGTGACATCTGAAAATAATCAAATAAGTGTCTTGTTTTCAGCCTGCAAATGACTTTGTGAAACTTTGGAAGGAAATTTTCCACTTAATAAAAATAAGAAAAATTGAAATTGAGATCACGAGGAAGAACAAAGATGGGGAATTATGAGAGTGCTTTGAATTGTTAATAGCACTTATATCTGTAAAAATGAACCTCTCTAAAAACCTGGAAGTGGCCTAATAATTTTAAATCACCTCCCATAGCACATGCCCCAAACCCCGATAACTTCCCAATTCAGTTGCTTACGACCACTTCATGGCACATTCCAAAAACCTGAAGTTGCTACACAGTGAACAGAACTCTGGATTTAAAATTATTGAAGCCTTTGATATTTTTTTCCCTATGAGCTCTTGCATTTGGAGAGAAGTCAAGGTACAGTCTAACTCCAGAGGATCAAAATATATTGAACTGATTTAAAAAAAAAAAGTTATCAGCCAGGAAAACAGAAGTGGAACTGAACACCACGGCGAAGAGAGTAAAGAAGGGCGGAGAATGGGCTGAAGGTGGCATATAAGACTCCAGGTAGAAGCAGAACCTGCACCTGAAGATGTGGGCCAAGGTAAGACAATTAAGGCACTTTGGTGGAGATAATCTCAGGCAAACAAAATTAAACATCATGGCTCAGCTCAGGAGAGACTGGAGTAAAGAGGAACTTCCCTCCGGCCTCAGTGGTTAGGGGGTGACATAGCACTCCTTTGGCATCTCATTAATATACAAGTCAAGTGCTACTATAATCTCCTGTGGGTGACAGACAGTTGTGCTTTGTGAATTTTTGGTTTCTAACGATGCACCTGGGCTTTATTTTTTTGCAGCTGTCCTTGTCTTAATCCTTTATTTTTCTCTCCTCGGGGTCTAATGGTTTCTACTTACTTATCAGCATTTTAAGCAGCATGTCGCCCGTCAGGCAGCGCACGGCTTCTGATGGTTATGGCATTTGGGTCACCACTAGTTGTCTGGAAGGACAAGTGCTCCTGTGAGGAGCACAGCGAACCCCTCGTGCGACTGGAACGCGGCCGTGCCGGTTCTGGGTGCGCGCTAGAAATCGAACCAAATGCAAACAGCAGCTCAATGAGGATTCCTGCCATGAGGCAAAATGCTTGGAAAGTTACTCTGTGTTGGCATCACTGGGTTTGGGGTCAGCATGCTGAAATCGGGACTCATTATGTTCCTACCATGCCAACTCGGTGCAATTAGCCTAACACGATAATTTCCCGAAGCCATATGTTGATCTTTAGGGGAGGGAAGGCTTCCTGTGCCTGATGGCTGGAGCTCCGACCGGCAGGTCCCAGCTCCGAGCAAATGTCTGTAAATCACGGTAACACACGCCGCAATCAAAGAGGAGGTGGGACAGCCGGTCTGCGTAGGAGCAGAGCTCAGAGCGGCGCTGTGTACTTGTTGACTGTTGCAGCGAGCTGGTTTTCTTTTCTTTTTTTTTCCAAGAAGGTTTCAGAGAAAGGTCAAAGAAGCACCACTGTGTGCAACATAAAATCAACGGGAGGACCTAGAACACAATAAGTTATGTTCCAGGGCTGCGTGGCCTGTATTCCCATCGGAGACCTATCAGTGTGAACTAGCACTGTTGGGAAATCTCTTCAGCTGGCTCTGTTAATCAATACCTCTGTTCATTATGCCTCTCTGATGACTATGGGTCATGATTGGGTGCCTGAGAGTCAGGTGACTAAAAATAACTGTACCTCACTGAGATTGATAGACCCCCCACAGTATTACTCCAGGCAATTCCATGTCCTCAGATGCCCTCCCGAGCCCACGCCAATGCAGCCTCTCCGGTCTTCATTGATAGATCAGCTTCGTCCTCAGAGCAGCTTTATTAAATTAGTAGCACTTAATCTACTGTCATATTGTCAACCAACTCAGGGCAAAGTAGCAGATGGCAAGTCTTCCAGGGACTCAGGAGAGCCACTGCCCACAATGCAGGCGGTTTTGATTAGCTTCGAATTCAGGAGTTTTCTGCATGGCGTCTCTACTAAACAGGGGGATTTCTACTATTTAATAACATCTAAAATCATTTTTTTAAAAGAAAGAGCTCTTTGAGGGAGAATTCTTGCCAACTGCAAACATGTTGTGACAGATGAAAAGATCATAATTATGTGTGGGTTCCCTGCAGAAATGCGTTTACACACCCGTGACGTTTGTCACCACCTGCCTCAAAGGAGGCTGACTTCACCCAAGTTGTTTAACTGTTCGTTTCTTCACTCTCACCCTGAAACCCCCCACCTACGGGTACTCAGAGGAAGTCAAGGAGACCCAGTCAAGGCTTGGTGGTTGCCCGGAGGGGGACCCTCAGTCAGTGGTATCAGAAGCTGGATGACAGACAGGTACAGGTACAAGTAACCGGTCCAGCTTCTCAGCAGCCAGAGGCTGGAGGCAGGGGTTGCTCCAGAGCCCGGTAGCTCATTTCCCTAGTTCCAGGTCAGAAAAAAAATCAGAGAGGTGGGTGGTACAAGCTGGGGAGACTTGGGCAAACTGGCTCTGGGATGAACAGAAAATCCTAAATTGGAAGGGAGAGTCCTTACAATCTCCTAGGATTGGTGTAAGAGGTGGGGCCCATATTAAACATTGTTGAGTCCAAAGCACCTTCTACACACTTTTTCCCATTGTCCCTTAAGCAGTATGACAGAAGGAGGAAATGTCACCAATTATGACATCTCTCCATCTGTTAGTTTATTTCTAGATTATAATGAGCATAATCTGCAGAAAACCGCTGTCAGGAGAATATAAATTGAAACACAAGCATTTAGCCTGAAAATGTATATACACATATAGTCATTATTCTGTTGGCTGCTGTTCACCAATTTCACAGGATGGGGAGGGAAAAAATGTATTTGCAGAAAGCTGAGGTGCACTGACACCTAAGCGATCTTGGGCAAAGGCTTTGGGGAAAAGGTGTCCCCAGACGGGATAGCTTTGGTGAGGAAAGACGCAGCAGGTTCCTGTTTGCTGCGCTCCGTCGGGACCACCTGGAACCTTTGCAGCCCCGGTTCAGCTTTGCCTTCTGAGCTAGAGGCGAGTTCGATCTTCCTAAGAAGTGTATTATGTAAAGCAGGATGTAGTCCAAATAGGGGAGCGACTCTCAGTTATCCAGCAAGTGTGCTTAAACAGGGGGAATTACAATGTGAGCTGATGTGCTACCAGGTGTATTTCGTAAAGGTCTATTGGGGTTTGTTGAGGTTTCTTCAAATCAAGAAGGTAAGAAAAAATCAGTGACTGATAAATCTTTAATATAAAAATTGTACAAGAATTTTGATACAAATTACAAGAGGTATTTGGACAAAATATGAATAAAATTCCATTTACATCCCCAAACCCTTATGCATTTTATGCAAAAGACATACTGTAGACAGTTATAGTACAGAAAATACAACAAAGGAATAGCAAATAAAAACTTTTAATTCCCTTAGGCTACTAATAGAAACAAAACAAAAACCCTTGTTCAAGGTACATACAGTATTTAGGAAGCTACCAACGTCACAATGATGAGATCAGGGCAGTGTGAGCTGTGCCCACCCCTCGGTGCAGCTGCCTTTTGCAGTCCAGACTTCGGTTCCGTGACAGGCTTAGCAGAAGAGACTGGTGTGATGCAGATGAGAACAACACAAACGGAAAAGCAGAAGCCCCCAGACTCTGGGGGAGGGAGAGGACATATCTTGGTGAAAATTCCTTTTCCTCAAGATATTTCAATTCCCTTTGGCTACTTTTGCTGTTAAATATGCAGGTTGGACTGAATGTTTTTGTAACTGAGACATACCAGGGGGGTTGGGGCGGAGATGAAAATTCTGCGTCCTCCCAGCTGTGTGATGGATCGCGCCAGTTCTGAACGGAGTTGCTCGAGAACAGCAGTAGAGAACACAGCACTTTCTTCCCCAGAGCCCCAGCTCACCTCCACCTTTGAGAAAAGGCCCAGGTGGCCTGGGAGAAAGCCTTCTCCTGGTTTCCCCACCTTGCTCCCCGCCTCTGACCTCCATGTACCCACTTTTAGCTCTCCTGCACGCTTCAGACTGGCATCGGTAGGGAGATGGTAAGGTTCTCTGCAGTGCAGCTGAACCAAAGTTTGCACAGGAAAGCAAGTGCACCATATATTATAAATCTTCTATAGTCATATGAGGTTAATATATAATACTAGAACATCTCATTCACTTAATTCACGTTATGTAAACCCTAGACAGGGCAGAACACACAAATGTTTCCAAAGCGATCAAAGTCAGGATGAAGGCGTGTTCTACCTTCTTGCTTCAGAAAAGAGGGTTTTCTTCTTCTTTTTTTTAAGGGGGTGGGTGAGATCAGAAGAGCAAAGGGAGGGAGTGGGAAGATAATGGAAAAGTCAAGGGAGATTAAGATAGGCAATGAGAGGAATGGATTACTCTGTACAAAGACATGCAAAAACGCTTCAAATTGAGTACTAGATGAAAAAAAGTAAACAATCAACCTTGGTTTATACATCTCAAGTGAACCTATTAACTCAGCACATTGGGAGTTCAAGAACATCATACCTCATGAATCAATGCTTCTCGCGGGCGGGAGACGCCGTGTTCCTGGCATGGAAAAGGCAGGTAGCGAGGCTCCCACAGAAACAGTGCCGGTCAGCTTGTGTTGCAGGGGGGACTGCAAGGGTGCAGGGGTCCCTCCCTGTCTTTTGGGGAACAGTTTCAGGGCCAGATGAGTGCAGCTCTCTCACACCCTCAGGGGCTCCCTAGTCACCTCTCAGTCCTTGCATTCCCTCATAGGAGCGGACAGAGCCGGTTAATAATGGCTTGATTTGCCATCTTAGTTGTGCATTATTTCAACATTATATTTGGCAACAGGAAGCCATATAAAGTCTTGGTATAGCACTTAGATACTCTTTTCTCTTCAAGAAATATATTTTTATACTATGTCTCTCCATTTTTGTTAAAATACCCTTTTCTGTTCTTCCTTCTCTTCAAAGATTCTTTTAAAAATGAAGCTAAAAAAAAGCATTAAAAAATTAGAAATGTCCTTAAGCATCCCTGTTCTTTAAAGGAAGAAATGCTAATAATAACATTAGCAAAATGTGTGCAATTTTGGCAACTGAGTTTTTAATTGAAGTTTCTAATGTGATATTTGAGAAATGATTGTAATATATACGTATAAGAGGAACTTAAAAAACATCAGGTTAAGTGCTTTTCCTGTCTCCAAGAATCCTTGCTCAAAGTGCTTTTCTCCCCAGTGCTCAGACTGGTTAATGAAATTACTTAGCACAGGTTTGTCAAATGAGACCTGTTACATTGTCTATCTCTAAATCTACTGTTCTCTCTTTCCATGAGTCCACATCAAAAAGCGACACCCACACATCTTACTTGGTTGAGAATGTATTTGGCCCCGGCCAACAGCATCTATCCAACAGCATCTATCTGGCCTGCGGTGGGGACAGTGGGAAGATGGAGTCCCTGAGCTCCAGGCAGAGGACTCACAAATAGACCGTGCACTTCATTTCGTCACCAACTAGCCACTTTCCAACCCTCATGCAAGCAGTTGTCAACATACACAGAAATTGCAGCCAACGCGGTCCCTCCACGTTGTGTGGGCTCAGAGTGTTTTGGAACATCACACTTCCACACGTTCTTCCTCTGTGCCTGCGTCCCCTCGTCACTTGGTTTTAGAGTAAATCAAGTCACTCTACTTGTACTCAACAAAAATCCTCCCAAAGTGGAGAGTTTAACTTTTACGTGTAGGTAGTCTCCGTTTTAGAGATTAAAGTCGAGATCCCCACGCCCTTCCCGTCACACCGTCAGTGCAGTTGAACCAAACGGAGGTTGGAGTGGGTGCTCCTCTGAGAGACACATGTTCTCGCCTAGAACGATGGTTGGTTGCCAGAGCTAAAACAACACCTTTTTTTTTAACCACCCTATACAACAATTTGTTTACAACGTCAACTTTTCGAAGGGGAAGTATATTTTCATTTGTCCTTGCAGATTATGGGGCAATGTAATGCTGTGTGTGCCGGTGGTTTGTGGGAAGTTTTACTTTAATTCGAGGGCCACACCCAGTTCTCCCCGGAAGGACAGGCGTGCAATTACTTAAGCTCCAAAGACGCTGAGATGCTGTCAGAGCCAGCATCTCTCTACTGACCCTTTATTTTAGAAGTCATCTTGTTACCGTCCACTTAATAGTTGGAGAGGACATCTAGAGGCAGCCTGGGCTTACCAAAGATGCAGTTTCCTAGGTGTGTGTGCCTGAGCCTAAGTGGCGGGAGGGGAGGGAGAAGTGGAAGTAGGGTCGGGGGGGAGACTGTGAATGTTCGTACCGCAGGGAGCTCAGTGGGAAAGCCTAGCCCTTGTACTCAATTTCCCCTTCACAAGGGATAAACAGGCAATTACGCATCCCTTTATATTTGATGGCCAAGTGCTGAACTGGAAAGCACACTATTAGTTTGTGTCCCTTCAGGGCCAGGGCAATAAGTAGCCAGGAGAGCTGGGGCTGAGGCAGAGAGGGTGTTGTCTGCTGTTAGTGTGACAGTCTTGTCAGCAGCGTTCACATTACTGGAAGGTAATAAAGTGACAAGTAAGTTATTAGAAAGATATGAGGTGAAATTGAACTGAAGCTTCTCGCTGCTCAGCCCAGGCTTTTCCCTTCCCTCTTTTGTAATGGTCCATTATTTGTTACAAACTGAACCTTGTCTTGATACTCTATAGAAAAAAGATTTTTTTTTTTGCAGTTAAGGTCAAATGAATTTACAACAACACTTTAGAGAAGAAGAATAAAGATAGTTTTATGACGATAGTATGTTGCTCCAAAAATACATACAGCACTACAGTGAACAATAATGCTGATCCAATTCAGTGTACTTGTAAAAATGCTTATTTTTAAACTTCCTGCTATTAGGCACTTGGATTTTTCAACAAATGCCAAAAGACAGTACTGATGTCCAGCTATTGCCAAATGACCGCAAACATCATTTTGTGCAAGATGTGAGGGCAGTAAGGATGACAGGACAGAAGGATGAATGGGTGTCTGGGCAACAGTGATGATAAATTAATTCACTACTCACTTTTACAGCTGCATTTACATAATACTAATTGAAAATTACCATTTACAGCGAGCAACCCTCCAACTATAGAAAATATGGAAATGAGTCTGGGACAGATCAGATGAGGCCTTCTTACTGACATAAACAAGACGATAGCACACAGTTTAGCTTTGAGGGAAGATGTGGAAACAGAGAAGTTACTTGGGGATGCTTTGTAGGAAGGTAAACGAGCACACGTTTTGATCAAGAGAACTTTAGCTGAGTAGCATTACAACCATAGCTACCGGGGCAGGCAAAAACGAGGATGAAAAAGAACAGATCCATGCCGGCCACCCCTCACTGCTATTCAACTCGTCCCAGTTAGAGCTAGGTCAGACCACCAGCCTCTGCTATAACCTAGGTTAACCCATCACATCTTTTTGCTACCTGACCCCCACACAAACGCCTTGTTGATTCTCCTGACCCTAAGGCACTTGAGCTATTCCACGCAGCTGTCCTTGCTGTCCTCCGTCCTCAGACAGGGGTTCAGTGCTGTGCCTGTCACAGGGAGCTGAACAGGGAACTCCATCTCAATGGTCTCACCCACTGCTGGGCAGGGTCATGCCAGACTTTTCTCTTGCATGCACTTCTAGTGCATCAACTCTTTTCTTTTGTAGCTACTTTCAAACAGGGCAGGCATCGGTCCTCTACTGAGTATGCCTTACTCCCTGGGCTTTTTGGAAAGCTGTGATGCCCTCCAGTCTCTCTGGCACCTGCCTCTTGTTGTCCTCCTAACTTGTTGATTCCCCCCTACCCCATTAAAAAACAAAAAATGAGAGAGAAAAACTAAATTCTTTTATATTAACATTCCGAACTTGGGGGGAATATAAGTGATTCTTTAAAAATGAAGTTTGTTAATCATAATTTAAAAAAGAAGTTCTTGAGAAAAGTAATGTGTCAATAGAAAGAATGTAAGTTTTTTTCTGGGTGATTTGTTCATGATAGCAGATGTAGGGTATCTTTTTACAGTTGAATTTTATTTACTCTGTTAGTCAATCTAACTCAACACTAACAGACCAAGTACAAGTTAGGGCTGCTCAGGTCAACTGTTAGTAGTCAGCAGCATGTCCACCTCCATCTGGTTACTGGCTTCTTTATGTTCTCATTGCCAAGGGCCCCCATTCTCGTCTGCTTGGCACGCATCTGGGGTGTGTACACAGAACACGGAACGAAAGATCACAGTTGTCTTATCTGGTGAGAACCTAACGCATGGTTGCTCCTGAGTAAAATGAGGAGAATATCTCTGGAACAGCCCATTCTTGATACAGTCAAAGCTTTTTTCCCCTTTTTCCAAGAGCAGTGGCTACACTCATGGGGCTGTTAACCAGTTGAGCACCTTCCTCCTGCCACTGAAATGGCCCGGAAATTCCCAAGAAAAGCAGTCACACACTGCAAAGACACTGGTGCCCTTGTGCTAAAAACATTTTTCAAAAACGATGTTTATCATATTGAGAAGGAAAATATTAACACCTCTTAACCTTTAAAAGGCATGAGGCTGAACTGGGTGGCTGGACCAAGACCTGAAATGTGTTACACTGGGTTGAATTATTTCAGTACAATTAATAGCAGGACCGGGAGTGTCAAGCTCCTGATCACATTTTAGGAATCAAATTTGTTACTACTTGTTTTCCTGTTCTTTGCCACACCCTCCACAGCATGCACATACTCCCTACAGCAGCAGGAGCTTTTCTGATATTCACAAAAACAGTTTAAAATGAAATGATCAAATCGGTAAGTTTCAACATTGCCTACTAAACATGCACATTACTAACACTACCTAACTTTGTACCTGGGACAAAATTCTGGTTAAAATCAATGAAATGGGGGAAAGCCGCTTAGATGAAAGTCAGCATTACCATTAATTTTCAGCCAGTATAGAATAGATGCAGCCAGAGAGAAACTATCTCACGATAGGAATCCGTGTGAGAAAACAAATGTGTAGGAATGAGCGAAGAGGAAGGGCTCGTGATGGAAATGCTGGTCTCTTATTGCTTCCTGTTTGCAAACAAACCTTGGGATCACCATCTCAACTAGACTTGTAGTTTCCACACTGCACTCAGGCACACACCCAAGACAAGCAGCACTTTGGGGCTAAAGGCGGTGTACATTTCACAGCTGTACCTGTTATGGACCACTTCTATCCACACCCCCTGCCCCTTTTAAGCAAATCGGTTTTGCACTGGAAAATATTCACCCATTCAGAAGGCCACCATCACATTTAGGCGTTGGAGGCACAGGAATAGTAGCAAATAGGACAGGAGATACTTAAACAGGGTGAGTTTCCAGGATTCATTGTCATTTTTCTGACAAAATGCACTTACACTTTTATGTTTCCGAGCAAGAAAGATACTACTTTGAGAATCTCACTGCTTCTGGTTGTGTAACTGGCTATCCACAGTAGCCCGGTTTGTGGCAAGTAACAAACATTAGTTCGAAGCCTGGTTCATCTGCTGATGGGACCTGCCGACAGCTATGTAATCCACTCACCAGGGCTATCTGACCTTTTAGTTGACATTAAATTAAACAGACTAAACATTGATTTTGTACAAGATGAGTTCAAATATCTCAACCAAGAGTGTGACTTTAAAAAGTTGCTAAAATAAAAGTGTCTTATTTCATAAAACTGGGTATAATTCTCCCTTAAGCAGACTCCAAAAACTAGTGTTTCTATACTCTTTTGTTGGGATACAATATTTTCCCCACTCTTTTTGAACTGAACCATCTGATAAATGGGGCAACAGCGCAACAGAGAGAGAATGCTAAGAGGACCAAAATGTTTGCAAACAAACTTTCATTATTCTAGTTCAATCTTTCACAAACATACTGTACAGAGTCTTATATGGTATAAAACAAAAGAAAACATCTGTCTATTCAATTTAACACAACAAGAAAATAAAGTAATTAAGACTTTGGGAAATTCAAAGGTACAAGAAAACAAAAATGGTTATTACTAATTCCTCAGCTTTTTACCGTAAACATGTGTCATTTAAGAGACATAGTGTTTAATAAGGTTTCTTTTGTACTGCAAGTAATTTTGGTCTTTCCTCACGGTAGAACAGGTGACGAATTAAATGAACCACATAGCATTCTCTGAAGGAGATGAAAAGATAAAGCTCATAGACACATCTAGCTTATCTTTAAGAATCTATTGTTTCTGAACTTTTCACAAATAAAAATACTGAATTCTCATCTATTGATGCTTCTTTTTGGAAACAATAAATACTGTGAGGTACAATAAATCCTATAGGAATAATAACAACAGAAACGTATTAACAGTTTCCTTTGGCAAATTTAACGAAAGTGAATGCTGATGTGAACATAGAAAAAGTAATTACAAAACATATGAAAAATGGAAATGACATGAAAAGTTAAAACAAAGGAGGGTATTTCTAACTTTTAGACTAATGAGAAATGTTTGAGGCCATTAAATGCAGAAAAGAAATACATTCTCTTGAAATTATTGTGTACTGTTTGACAACATACTCCTTTATCTCTCCCCCTTCACTTAAAAAAAACAAAAACAAAAACAAAACAACACAACATAGTCTGCAATGCACACCCTAATGGTTTTGGCTGCAGACTGAACTTGAGTAAATATCATCATTTAGTCAGTATGTTGTGGTAGCTGAGGCTGCCGATGTGGTTAACCAGCTCAGGCAACATGTGTAAACATCGGAAACAAAACAAAACAAAACAAAACAAAAAAGCTTTGGAGAATCATCTCCCCGCCCCCCCTCCTCACTCTCCATTGCCTGGTTTTAGGCTTGCTTTCATTTTTTTTTCTGACAAATCGTGTGGGGGAAGTGCAGAATGCTAAACAGTGAGAGATCCTGTTTTAAAAACCCTGTTCTTCTGGCTTTTCAGAAAGGAGTGTTGCTCAATTCAAGTTCAGCACATGTTTTCAACGGTTCAAAGTATGGTTGCTGTTAAATGTCTTTCAATTTTGTCTATCAAATGGGCTGAATCACACCGCTACTGAAGAACCTGCATCGAATTAGACAGTCATACAACAGACCAGCCCAGTTCGGACTTTTTTTCTTTTTAAAGGATAAGGGTTAGGTCCTTGGAAATGTGTTCAACCCGTTTACTGTATTCAGCTTTGTTCCATAGTGAGTAATTCGGGCTTTTGTATCCTGAAATATTATCCAGCCTCTAAAGAATAAATGCCTTAGCTGTTTCACACCACATAATTTTGTTTTCCTTTCATGTAACTTAACATATAAGCAAGAAGGATGCAATGTTGATTCTAATAACATTCGGCACTTGAAAGAATCACCAAGTGTTTTTTTTTAAGCGGTTTTCTGGTGGCCGACAAATTGGCCTGTGGTTATGTTGAGTGACTAATTGTATTTTCTTTTCTGGAAACTTGTGCAAAGTTGGCAGTTTTGTGTTAACACTAATACTTTTGTTTGGCATTTGTGCCCTATACTGACCAGACCATTTTTATACAAGTGAATTTTTTTTTAAAAAGACACTTATTTGAAGTATGGCAATAGTTTAAGGATAAGAAAAGAAGCATGGATATTACACATCCCCTTGTAGTGTATGAAAAAAAGTGCATGACTGGATTTATGTACGTACAGGACATTTAAACAAATCAGATCCGTGCTGAAAAGCATGCCAGCACCTCTTCATCACTACATCTAGCAGGTAGTAAAAACAACACCATGTTTTTTTGTTTTTTTTTTAAATGTGCATTAATGCTAACATAAATGAATAGAGCTAGCCAGCAAACTATTTTTTTCCTGCATATCTAACAGCGGGATGTAACTGTAAAAATTAAACAAAAGAGTTAAACAACATCAATACAACTGTTTTACATCATTGGCCTCTCAAGGCTAAATATTTACAGGTGAATCTGCCATGCTTTAGTTGAAGATTCTCTCAAAACCTTCAAATTCACAAAAGACAACTATTCAGAAGTTCCTTTTTTGTTTCTTTTTTTCTTTTTTTCCCTTTTATTTTATTTGCAGGCAACGGTCATGGGTACAACAAACTGTCTCTTTGGAGAGGACCAAGAATTATTATTGTCAAAATTTGGGCTACTTGCACGCTTTATGTGAGTGTGTGTGTATTTGTATTTAAAGGGTACTTAGTTTTCACCCCTGAATGAAAGATCCCTCCCGCCTTTTCCAAAACTATAAAGGAAAAAAAGTTCAAAAGCACTTAGTGTTTATCTTTTTATATCTAAAGAAAAGAAAATAGGTGTGTGTGTGTGAATGGAGAGGCATACATGTGTATACACACACACACACACACACACACTCAAATACACAAGCACACACTGACTATGGCAGTTCAAACATGTAGGCCATCTGGTGAGAGCTGGCATTTGTAGTGTCCGTTCTGAGACTAATCTACTGAAGTGAAGGGAATGTTTTTATGGAGATTAGGGTTCTGACTGTGCCGATTTCGGCTTCGCACAGAGGAAAACATCATATTGCAACCAGGGACTTTGCACTTGTGCATTTCTCGCAAATGCACAGTTTTGTAGTGCACTCTCAGGGTCCCCTTGTTGCTGTACATTTTGTGGCAAATGTTGCACATAATCCCACCATTGCTCCCGGACAAACTGTTGAACATCAGAGATCCTGAAACTTCAGCCCCTAGGCTGCCAGGCAGGGTGGGGGCCTCGGCCTTGTGCGCCGACTCCCCACTGTCACTCGCCCCGTCAATGTCGTCAAGGAGAATCCCCTCATCACTGCCTGCGTCGGATTCTCTGGAGGAATGGATGCTGCTGCTGGACTGGAGGCTGGAGGTGGTGCTCAGGTCAAGGACCATGTAGTCCTCCGCCACGCCTCTCCCATACCCGTTCAGGTGGGAGTCTTCCGTCCCTGCGGGAGAGGAGGCGTCTTCCCTGACGTCGAGCCCCATGGGGTGGTGGGCTCCATAGATCTTCATCAAAAATTCATCCCGGAGGTCCTTGCTAAGGGAGGGCTGTGACGATGAGTCCAGGCCCATGTCATCGAGTTCTTTGGTCAACAGTTTACGATGCAGATTTATGTTGGCACTGTGTCTAGGAAATCAAGAGGGAAGGGGGGAGGGTCGGTGTGTAGGGAGTGGGGAGGGGCGAGAAAAAGGAGAGCATTTTAAAATTGATTCAGCTTTCACTAGGCATCAAATAAGCACATTCATTGCTAATTGCACCATTATAAAAGCAAACATTTCCCTACATCCTCAGGATTTGGGACTAAGTGGTAGTGGGAAATGCAATAAGGGGAGCTTTTCATTAACATAATTTTTATAAGAGTAAAATTCTTCAATGGTCGGATGAATGCAAACCCATGCACCTTTTTCTCAATGATTGTTCTGTTAATTTTGCCATGAAGCAGCATCGGCTACAGACATTCTCATAGCAGAGATTTAAAAAATATATATTAAGTAGGATAAAAGAATGGGAACTTTCTGGTTGTCTAAACAGAGTAATTTGCATTTACCTAAAAAACTTTGTTATCTACAGCAAACACTTTACTTATTTAGAGGTACAAATAATAGCAAATGATCTAGATAATTTAGGTTTAACTTCAAAAATAATGAAATCTTGCTCCTCATCTTCCTATACTTCAAGTTCTAGGTAGAAAAAATTTAGCTTAGTAGATGAGCAATTTGAAATAGGGTTATAGACTCTTTGGCATAAATCCTTTTTTTCAGAATGATCTGGGATTTCGGCTAAATCAAATAGTAAAACACAATTATTTTCAGGAGCTGCTACATTTTCATTAAGCAATTCAACTTTTAAAATTTAATTCTTTAACACAGAAATTGAAAAACAGATACTGTTTAAAAAAAAAACCCTAAAACCCACCCACCCTTTAAAAAAATCACATTAAGCAACAGAAAACCCAACGGGACAGAAAGAAAAAAAGAATCACAATAAATACAAAAAAAATCAAGCACAATCACAACATACTATTTCTGTATTTTAACGACCGGAACCCATACTTCTTAGACAAGCAAAACTTTTACTCCACTCACTAAGGGCTTTTGCTTGTGTAAAAAAAAAATAAGGATTTGTCCCAGAGCATCCATAGGGATGTCATGATTTACAAGGCCTGATATGTTGTTATGTCTGAAAACAGCGCCTTTGTATTTACACTCCCCCATTTATCCTTAAAGTGCCCTTGGGCATATACCTCTCTCCACCTGCAAAGGCTCATATGCTTGAAAAGTACCCTTTGAAGGCTACCCTTCCAAAAAATAAACCTGTATAAATTACAGATATATAAAAGCTTCTCAATAATGGCAGAAGCGCTACATCTTGGAGAAGTAACCATGATAATAGAAATTATCTGTAATAGCCATTATAAAGTTCGACAGACCTCTTGATTATAAAGTATGGAAGCAAAACCAGTCACTCCGTTTGGTGACAAATGTGGCTAACACTTCTGAGAGGTGGCTGAGAGGTATGTGCCTCAGAGACAAGGAAGGGGAGAAAGACTTCTCTGCCTCCCCACACGAGACAATATATACAGCACTCTGGTTTTAAGGGGAAGAGGGGCACAGCCCTCTCCACACTGCACTTAGGAAGGCTGAGCTTACCTTGTGATAATAAGATCAGCTTTCTAATCTTTTGCTAAATCGATCACAAAAGAAAGCAAGAATGAGAGACAGAGAGAGAGAAAAAGAAAGAGAGAGAGAGAGAGAGAGAGAAAACAAATTCACATTCTAGACATCTGTTTTTTTTTTTTAAAAACTTCAACAATAAAATAGGGATTTAAAACGTTCTGATCACAAAATCATTTTCTGTCATAAGCGATCATCTCATATGCTGTCTTGATGATTTTCAGATCAGCTGCATAATCCAAAAATCATAAATCAAATTAAGATAAAGCAAATTCACAGCATCAGCATCATCCATAAATGAGTTCTACACAGATGCATGCAGTGCACAGATATGTGAATGATAAAGAGAAGTTGTCCCCACAGTCCCTGCTCTGACAGTCTCCCCATTTCCTTGGGGTCAGATGGCAGATAACTCCAAGGGCAGGTTGCTAAGCCGAGTGCAGGAAATGCCTACTGGGAAATCTTTACCCTGACATGTGGGTATGACACCACCAGAGTTATTATAAGAATGTAGAAACACAGTTACACTCTGTATTATTACTCTGTTGATAAAACAATCTGCCAGCCATAAGCAGCTCAGGAAATCCTGCCCCCTCTCTGTTCATTATTTTTAACACCCTCCCCACTTTCTTAATTTCACAAGCACACATTTTGTGATTGACTGTAATCTAGAACTCTGTGTTGCTTCTCACACATCTGCAGTTACCACTTCCTAGATTCACTGATGAGAAAATAGCAGCCAGATACACAACAGGCACATAAAGACACACTGAATAAGAAGAATAAATTAACATTGACAAAAGGACACACTGATCACCCAGATGGACACATCTTTCCCAAAATGACTTGTGAAATTACACATATCCAGCGATATGTTACCAGGAAGAGATGTTTCTCTTCATTTCTCACTTACAGCAATAGAAATCTGTAATCTAATTAGATGATGTACCAGCCCTCAATATCTGTCAACCAAACGATGTGCAGAAATGTGTAGACCAGCTCTGGCACTCTGTCCAACAGTGTCCCTTTTCCGCTGTCAGCAGTACTGTTGGCCTCTGCTAATATAATTACATTGACTTTTATTCAATTAAGTGCCATCCTTTGCTTAAAAAAAAACCCTACTTTATCAATTGATTCAGGTGTAATGCAATAATAAAGATGAACTCATGGCAGTGCATTAGCTCTGCTGTTCATAACTTCAGTACACAGGTTCATTCATGGTAGTCGATTTCCATTATGCAACCACAGTTCAAAAGAATTGATTTTTTTATGTTCATTTCTTAATCTATTTCATTTTTGTTTAATAATCCCCCTAAATACCATATGCAAAACACTAGAAATGAAGATGGGAAGAATGGGCTATAGAAAACCTGCTGTTTTTTTCTCATGATTGTGAGCTTTTGAGATTTTCTAACAAACTCACACAGTACTACTGGGGTAATAAGAGGAAAAGCAGAGCAGGGGAAGGAGAAAGACTTTAAATTCTTAAAGAGTACTGATTTTGCCCCTCAAGAAGGTAGGTTCAGCTTTCACAGAATGGACAAAAGGCAGCACTTGATTGAACAAAGCCCTATTGTCAGACAGTGGAATCGGCCAGTGCAAACCATTAACTGTCATAAAATACTGTCCTCACGAAGAGATACAAAGGCCTATGGTGAACAGCAATTTACAAGTTCATTTGGATCGGGAAATTGAAGAGGTAGAAAAGGGAGATGGAAGAGACATGGAAGGACTCCTGCCTGCTGACTGTAGGACACGTGGAGAAGAGGCCTGTAAGACGGCAGGAGGACGGCGGGCAGGCAGGGGATGTTCTCTCCCCCTCAGACCCTCCCTCGTTCCCCCTCTAAGATCAAGAGCAGGTTCTTGGGAGAGGATAAGAAAATAATAATAAAAATTAAAAAATTAAGAGTCTCATGCCCAAATGAGAAAACCAGAATTTTACAGTCTGAATAGTCAGCACCTGTGAGAAACTGTGATGTGTCAGGTACAACTGAAAAGTAAAACAGTTAGGAAATAGGGGCCACTGGATATTAATACTAAACTTATTGGAAACTAAATAATGAGTCAAGCTCTAGGCTACATGAGAAATCCAACATCTACCTCTTAATTATTCATCAGTTTTGAGCCATTCTAAACTCAGTGAATTGAAACAAAATACTCGATAATTAATTACAATACATCCAGTTACAATGGAATTAAGGTTCCATTTTGGATTAGTTTTGCCTGTATTTTCTTCCTTACCTCTGCCACTGGACACACACACACATGCACACTTACACTATATTGTCCAGAACCATCTCAGTGTATTTAGATGGCAGATACCACACATACACACATACATAGACACACACACTGTGTGTATGTATGTATGTATGTATATATGTGCATGGGGATAGAGAGGTAAATTTATATCTAATTTTGGGAAATCTAGATACCAGGTTTGAGTGTATTATGGGACACTGAGTTAACAATACTATCCAGACTGACAGAAGAAAAATTAAAATTTGTGCCCCACTTAATTCTCATCTATGGTTTGATATAACACTATGTGTTGTCCTTAACTGCTCAAAAATTTTTATATTACCATTTATAAATAATAGGATGCTTACAGTCCTGTGAACTAAATTCCATTTTTGATAGCATGCATTTCTGCAGAAACTAGTTGTTCTATAAGCTGTTGTTTAAAAATTCTCTCCAGAAGATCTGAAAACGACTGCTAGCTCAGGAAAAAATTCAATGGGAAATTCTAGTAAACAACATTAAAAAATACAAAAAAGTAAAGAAATATATGTTAAATGCAAGATTTAAAAGCTAAGCAAATTCTGGAAAATTAAAAGTATGAAATTCAGTCACTTCAATCCTTTTCAATATAAAACAAATCATCCATACTGGTCACGCAGACAGTTCCCACTACATTCAAATTATTCACTTGAAGATAAGCTTCCACCAAATTCTTTAGGGGTTTAGCTAATTTACCGCACAGATATGGCACGTCTGTTGTAATAACACACAGGATGTGTTGGGGTCGACCATTTATCAGAATTAGACTTCTTTTCTCAATTCGCAGTGAATTATGCTGCCTACATGACTCCCCTCTCTCAGAACCTGCCATCCCCTTACGGCCCCTAATGTGGCAGGCAAACAAAATTGACAGTCTCATCTTGTCAACAAGGGGCGATTCTCCTGAGAAGCCATTTAACTTTGCCCAGGAAGCAATGTATTAATGTGCCTGCCCCAGGAATGTTAATCATCTTCAAGTTTCCGACCTAACTTTGACATGAATGAAATCACCAAATTTGTTTACTAAATGAATCGTAATATGCTAATAAGAAAGTATGACACATATGGAAAAGCCAAACAGATGGTTTGTTTACTCCACTTTGCAACTTTATAAATGTTGTAACTCTGAAGATGCTAGTGAGAATTATTGATTTGTTGGCAGAGGCAAACGTG